GAACATGCGAAGACACTGCTGTACCGTACATACCTCCGTTCGGTCCGTACAGCAGTATATATATATATATATATTATATATATATATTTATATATATATATATATATATATATATAAACGCCGTAAGAAACGTCATTAAGATTTGTGTCATTTTTGCTGCTGCTGCCGGACGCACGGGTGAAAACAACGAATAACGCTCGCAAATCTTAACCCTCAGACGCTACAGAAAATATAAAACAAGGATATCGCGGCGCGAAACATCATAACACATTAATTACGACAAACCCCCGAGACTCACTGCATCGTACTCTGTACCACGGCGACCTAGCTCCCAAAGTTTTCCTAAATGTGTTGTTGCTGCGCCGGCGGCTAGACTACTGATAATAACGTTCGCAGAGCAAAAAGCCCAGGCAGCCGACGATCGGTTTAATATTGCTGCCTAAAATCAACCCCGGCTACACATCGAGAATTACGAGCCTGCATTCTCCCGCTCCGTACAGGGTTTCACAGGCGCGAGAACAAGAACCAAACTCGAACTCCAGCCCGATGGAAATCACAGCAGCAGCCACACCAGAAATAGGCATGGCGCGGCGCTCATTCCTAACCGCAGCCGATTACGTTTTAAGATTTCACGGACAAAAACATTGCACGCAACCGCCGCACTTCGTTTTGACAGATCGGTAATGTCTTAGCTACAATCACGGTTCATGCATCGTGATTTACATTGCCTGCTATTCAGAAACTCGCTGCCTCGGCGAACAGAAACCACCAAAGTTCTGCCCGTTTTTCACGGACGCGTATGCGCGCACGCGAAGCCTATAGATGCGAGCGATATGCTTGCTGTCTGTGCCCAGAAGCTTCCCCGATCCCCCTAGATACAAGATCGCCTAGATACACAAGGTCGTCCAGATACAAGATCGCCTATAATAAAAGATCAACTATATACAAACATTATAAACCCAACAGAGAACTCAGTAGAGTCACTGCTACTCCCACCCCCTCTACTACTACCTTTCCCCATACTCTGTTATCACCACTACTCCCACCCCTTCTACTACTACCCTCCCCCCATACTCTGTTGTCACCACTACTCCCACCCCTTCTACTACTACCTTCCCCCATACTCTGTTGTGACTAATACTCCCACCCGTTCTACTACTACCCACATACTCTGTTGGGTTACATATTTGAATCGACACCACCCCACTTCTTAACACAAACAGGTCGTCATACCGCGAAACGCTAGAACGTGTACGACGAGTGGTCGACAGAAACGCGCGTATATATATATACACACACACACTCACCTTGTGAAGTATTCCACATGAGGGCGGACCTGTCGTTCGAGCGGCGCGGGCCCCGCAGTCGTGTCTGAGTGCTTTCTTGCACACCTCCTCCCCTCCGCCACTCGTTCGCCTCACTGTGTGTGGCGATGCGCCTGATCGGGCTACCGTCACAGCGTCGCTCTATCGACCCAGCGAGCGAAGGAGTCAGCAAGCAGCAACTCAGCGCATACTCGTCTCTCTGCGTCCGTGTGTGTGTGACTCACTCTCACGCAGTCAGTCGCTGCTCATCACTCGTCAGCTGTCAGCATTGATTCAGCTGTAAGTCGCAAGGAGCCAAGGAGGAAGAAGACGTTAGGTGGTGCTTCGTAGTAGTGCGCGCGTGGTGCAGTTTGCTAGCACGAAAAACGCGAGACGAAACGCAGAAATCGCGGTGGGGGTTCTCTTTGTTATACTTTTGTCGTAGACGAGACCAAATGGAGAATCGCAGAGAGACAAACGGAATTAACGTAACAGAACATGCGAAGCAAGCGTAACCGGAAATGGAAGTCGATTTGGGGAAGACATGAAGACAGAAACGTGTTGGTGGCTAGCAAATTAATGCATATAAATGGATATATATGTATATTATATATA